ATCTATGACCCGTCACACACGTACGGTACGGTTTACGTTCGAAATTTTGCGGGCAAAATGGGATTCCGTATGTGTGTGCCCGACCCGTTCGGAATTGCGATACGGAATCCCGAAACGGACATCCGTATGTATGTGGCGGGCCTTAGGGTAGAAGGTATAACACCGCCACTACACGGTTAAATAATAACGAATAACATCCGATCCGATTTCCGTCACTACCATTTCAGTCTGATAAATGGTATGTGGGTACCTATTTATCACATTTATTACATCATAATCATTTCAATGCGTAGTTCTGACCTACTTATCCATAAATTTATTTTAGTCAGTGTTACTGTACATAATTATGTCGACTAGAATATTAATTGTAAAATTCAAATTTCAGGATTCAATAAAGGAATTAGACATCCTTTATTTAAAAAATAAACGCCCATATATACTAAAAATCTATCCTGTATCGGGATGTGTTTTACGTATTAATTTGAACAAACATTTAGACCCGGAACAATTATTTGTAAACCTTAGAAAGAGTTGATCTGTTCAGGATTCAAAGACAGGGCCTGCAACGATGGCGAACAGTTGCTAATAGCTACTGAGCTATCAATTGATGACAATTTTTTTACGAGTTAACTTACTATTGTCATCATCATCATCATAATGAAATAAATTTAAGAATAAATTAATTTAACGATTTTTTTCTGATATGATGGCAAGTGGATGCGGTCCATGGATGTTTACTAAACTTGCAATGAATAGTATGTATGGTCACACGCCTAATATCAAATATTCTGCGGGCTTTCTGATCGAATAGCCAAATATTAGGCAAAAGTACTTGGCCGGGTTATAGTGTTTATTCAGAGCGTCTTTTCTCTGAAGCTAGGAAAATGCAGAAAAATTTGTATTTCTACATCATCTTCCACTTCCAAATTTTAATTACGATAATACAAGTGTATAGACATTTATTTTATAAAATTATTTTATAAATAAATAAAATTGAAGTGTCTGTTTGTAATGTCAAAATAAAAGCATTTTACTAAATGCATATGAAAGCATATAAGTTACTTATAACAAAAACACAATTTTTAAATTTTTTGTCTGTCTGTCTGTCCGTTTGTTCCGGCTAATCTCCGAAACGGCTGGACCGATTTTGACGTGAAAAATTAAAACCCATAAAATCCAATAATCGTAATAAATTCCACGCGGGCGAAGTCGCGGGAAACAGCTAGTTTTATAATACGGAAAATGATTATGTACCAATGACTATCTTAATGATTACAAGAAAGTATTATAAAATAACTTTACAATTTTAAACATTTTACTTAAGTATTTGGGTATTCGTACGAATAGTACTAGATATTCCGTATGCGACCGAATAGGATTAAAGTATCTGAAATAGGCCGTACCAAATAATATGCGAATATTCGCTTCAAGTTTAATAGGTATATACATTTTATCATCAATTAAGAATCAAAATGCAAATGCATTTTCACCCTGAATACTAAGATGGAATGCCCTATTGATAGTTGTTTGAGTTACGGGATAGGAAAAGGCCACACTGGATCAATCTAGTAGCCTGGAAGAGGGGTAGTTTTGTATGAAATGCAATTTATGTGAGTACTAATGCTGCCTCACATAATGACACAACCTAAGAGGCTGGTGTTCTAGCCATGACAGCATTTTTTTATAGGATAGGGTGACAAACGAGCACACAGTCCACCTGATGGTAAATGGTTGCTATGGCCCATAGACGTCTGCATCTATCTTCGTTAGCGAATTAAAATGCAGATGCGTTGTCAGTCGTGAGGACTAAGATAGAATGCCTCTTTTTCAGTAACAAGGGTCCCCGGTTCTCTACACTTACCATACGAAACACAGCAGCATTAAGCTGCTATTTTACGCTGGTATTCAAAGCATATTCATCCAAACATAAGCTCCAAAATATGCTAATCAACAAACAGTTGAGACATTTGGTGTGTGGGCAATTTTATCACAGGGATTTGTTAAAAAAAGGCTGTGATCCTTGCTCTGAATTTTTTTGTACAAAGGATACCGTTAGTTATACAGTATAGCAATGTGGTATATGAGATGAGATACATATTCCAAGAACCTTTGAGCAGGAAATGATTCAGGGTGGGTTTTTGATTATAGGTAGGTGGTGTGCTTTCTGACTTGTGTGTTGTCACTGTAAACATTTTAAATTTGTCAAAGCTTTCCATCTTTAAAAAAAAGAGAATAACAACATAGAATTACTGAATTCATGTGTTGGCATTGATTTTTTTGTTTTTAAATTATATTGCTAAATAGAATAAAAAGGTAAATAATTATTCTCAGAATGCATACATAAAGAAGAGAAAATGTACACAAATATTGATTCAATGAATATAAAACAAAATAAAATATTGAAGACTAACTTGAGTAAATAAAGGTGGTATATGTGTGTATTTGTAGTTAATTTAATTTATACATTGTGGTAATTTAGCCATAAATAGTAAACTACATTGGCTTAGTTTAACACAAGTGGTAAAATTAAAAATTTTGTACAACTCACTTTAATAAAAATAAAATGAATACCTACATCATCAATGTAGTCAAAGTCCATTAAATACAAATTATTAAGGATAATTCTAAAACTGCTGGTCAGATCTTGATCAAATTTATATGGGACCACATGAGAAACACCAGCTATTAAATAAAAATCATAAATATACATAAAAAAAAACTACAATCAAATTGAGAACCTCCTCCTTTTTTGAAGTCGGTTGAAAAACCATCTCGTGCCTTGAATACACCCTAATTACAATAAAGTGTAATAACTAACACTGTCAAATTATTCCACCCCTTTGCTATACACATAAAGAATGACAATATTAGTTATTTGGTTTAATGGTTGGTATTGGTTTAATGCTTGGTTATATTAACAAGAAAGGAGTGGAGCCAATCTACTACCCTTGACTGGTAGAGAATGCTATATGGCATTATGTTGTTTATGACCATTTGTGTGCTTAGTATGTACAAAAGAGTGTAAATAAACAAATAAATACTTTGCTTTATAGTATGAATGAGTAATAAGATGATTTGCACAATGTTACGCAAAAGAATAAAACTGGAAAAGTGTGTGTCGGTCCACGTACAATGTAGAGGTAGGGATCCGTGTTGCCAGTCACAATATGTGGGCTTACTTGATAATGAGCATAAGTGAGTTCGCAGTTTGACCGCTATAACAACTAAAAATGGGCCCAAATAGGAACATTGTAAACTGAAGGACTTATTTTCAAATCAGCCTTATAGGGAGTGGTATTCAAAAAAGATTAACAACTTTTAGATTTTCATAATAATACACTATCTATCCCACAAATGAAAAAGTGAAGCTAATAATAGTAATGCACATAAGTCGTTTTCTTCATAAATGTTTATTTTTAACAGTTTATTTTAACTTCTTAATTCTACTTAGCTGTGAAAGTTTTCCTTTTCACTTCATTATATGTACTGCTATTGTGTATGCTTTTCACATTTCCAAAAACAGCGGTTTAGTTGGTAGAGGGGAAGGACACATGAATCTAATGAAAAACACCATTTTAAAGCTAAATATTTCGCAAACGGTTCCCTGAATCGAAAATATGGTGTTCCACACCCCAATGTTTTTGCAAGACCTATTTAACGATACCACACATGATGGAATAGATGGGTAAAAAAAATCATCCTCCATTTACTTGCATGGGAAGTATCCAAAATAAAATATTTTTTATGATTTTATATCACACTTTTCTAGGCATGATTAATATCCATAACTATGCCAAATTACAGATTTGTAGCACCTAGGGTCTCGGAGCATAACCACGGATGGACATGGCAAAACTATAAGGGCTCCTTGTTGTGTAAGTACGGAACCCTAAAAAGCCTCTAAGCATACCTATAGATGATTTGTACTCATGAGTATATGTGTATATATCTTTTGCGGTTTATGTATTTTGCAATTATTACTTAAGTTTGAAAATATTTCTTAAATATATTTAATATATGACGAGATGGTGTTGATAATGATATAAAAATAAATTATTAGTATGCTTGAAAAAATTGTCCTGCGGGTAATTTTTATTACAGTTGAATATACATTTCAAATTTTATTCCATTACTTATTTTATTTATTGTATAAGGGTGACAAGCCATTTGCTCATGATAGGATTATAGTGCCCTAATGTATGTATAAGTACAGGTGCACCCTTACTCTCATAGTCCGGGGATGGTATTCTGACATGACTGGAGAGAGATCTGACACAGGACCAACGTTTTTACATTCTTTTTGAGGGAAGGGTGTGAAACACTGCCAACTTACTGACTCTGGGCTGCTACTGAGAATTTTATGACGATAAATTAAATAACAAATTTTAGACTGAGCAGGTAGGATACGAAAAAGGGACCACACCAATTAGCAATCACATTTACGACCACTAGACCAAAAAGGCAGTTAGCAATATAGCAACCATAATATAGCTGCAGTGTGTCTCTACCACAAATTCGTTTGTTTTAATGTATTCTACAATATCAGTGAATAAAACAATAAGAATATTGTTCATAAAGTCAAAAATGAAATGACACCTGTAATTTTATTTTCTCCAAACTATTTCATGAGAATATTTATAGGTTGATTTAAGAGTATTATCATTTGAATGCATAAGACACTAAAGTAAGTACACTAGTTCTGTATTCTGCTAGCTTTATATTAACAAGCAACATTGACCATTAGAACTATACTATACTATAATACGTATTTGAGAGTACTATTGGGAAATCATTAGTAGTTTAGTTTTAATTCAAGTTAACTTTAATGATTTCTTTTATTTTTTTTAGAGCTGTTCATTGTTTTATGTCAAAAAATATTGTAGCTTCAAATAATGCTCTCCGAACAATCTATATGAAGACTTAGTTCTAAAAATCTGCTCTGAATGATTTAATTTGAATAGGAATACAAACATTGACAAGAAGTAAACAGTATAACTTACCATTTGGCCCATATTTGTCTTGATTTCTTTTGACTTGATCTGGAGTAAGACCTTTATCTGGGTCTGTGCCGAAGTATCCTAAGACTTCTTCCACGGATTTCGTGTGAGCGTCCTCCATGGTGGAATTTTTACGTTGCCGTCAGTTCTACAATTCAAAAAAGAATTTAGGTTAGAAATGACAAGTCATCATTATCAACTTGAAGGCTTTGGAGGTTATGTTGGCGTTGTTTTTTTTAACGTCGCAGTACATATTTACCGCCGTACAGTCACTAAGTAAAATACTTTTCATACGTATCAATTTAACCTCTGTGTAGTTTAATCGCCTCACGAAAGGTATTTCTTACGGTATAGAGATCAATCCGGACGCAAAATACTGACATGGCACAGATGATTAATTTGAAGATTTGTGATTTGAAATTTAGGACACGGTTTGAGAAGGATAACTAGCGATTTCCTATATAGGTACCGTTTGACATAATCAAGAAACACTCACCAAAATCTTTTAATTCATGAGAAAGTATTATGTTCTCCAATAATTCACTTAAATCAAAAAGATTCAATCTAGTTACATATAATAAAGACAAAATTATTTACTAAGCTAATACTTTTTCTCGTAAATATCATAAACTCCACGAACACGTCTTTAATCCAGTCATCATTTTTTCCTACACTGACTGACGTTAAAAACTAGTTGAATTAAGCGCCACCTGTCGCCACCAGGCGACGAAGAAGTGAAGTCAAGTTAAAGTCTTTTTTGGATTTATGTGATTATATAATAGAAAATAAACAAAGTTACTACTATTAAGTACCTAAAAAAACGATTTAAAAAAGGTCATACTGCTTTTATTCCCGTAACTTCACAAATATAATTTATGATCATGAATAAATGTGGAGCTATTCTATAGGTTGATATAGTACCACGTGATATAATGCTATTTTAGTGCCACAGGCGCCTCGAAAATTGCGGTATTTTTAAAATTTAGAAACGGCTATATAATTTTCTATGCGTTATGTAACACTTTATCACACTTAATTATCAACACTAAATTTCATTAAAACGTCTATAACACTGTATTACACTGCAAATATTAAATCACTCACGGTATAATCGTTTTATGGATTTTAAATTAGGGACTTACTGAATAATTTTTTCGACAGCTTCGGGAAGGAAAGAAGAAATAAGAGTGACGCGGGAGCTGTTTTCCCGCCGCGCCCCGAGTAGCGACTCCCGGGCAAAGAGCGACGATTTTAGAGCGGCGCGGGCGCGGCGGAGGGACACCGACGGAGATTTCTTTAATTATTTTGGCAACAGTACTCGATGGCATAGTCGAGTCGTTTTCCAGGGTTGCATGTCGCACAGCCGCCATCGTCCACCGTCTTATGAAGATCTTTTTATAGCGGGCGCTGCCCGGGTCGAGCTCCCAGTACTATACAAATTTGCGGCATTTTTGTCCGGCATTAAAACGAGCTTTTTTGTGTGTATTTATCTCATAAATAAAGTATTTCTACTAAAATTTCAGAATTCCTTTTCTAGAATTTTATTCGTATACTAAACGAAATTGAATAGGTAAAGCTAAATATTCAAAAAGTTATACATGCTTTCCTGTCCCATCCCATTTTCAATCACAGCGATAACGGCTAATTCCCAAGATTCGGAAACAGATACAGAAACAGAAACTTTTTTATAGGATAAAAGTGGTAAACGAGCACACAGTCCAACTGATGGTAAGCGGTTGCTGTGGCCCATAGACATCTACATCAATCCTCGTTTGCGAATTAAAATGTAGATGCGTTGTCAGTCGTGAGGACTAAGATGGAATGCCTCGTTTTCAGTAAAAAGGGTCTCCGGTTCTCTACACTCATCATATGAAAGACAGCAGCATTAAGCTGCTATTTTACTCTGGTATTCTGTGAGAGCGTTATTCAATGTAGATTATAAATAATACTTATTGAAAGTCACTCTTATGTTTAAATTACCACTGGTTCGAAAAAAAACCTCTGTCCTGGGAAGAATCAGCAAGAAACACAGCGAGACTTTTTTTATTTAAATAACAGCTTACAATCATGTATGGTTACACAATTAACAATACAAAAGAAATTAGAAATAGCCTGGTAGCGATCACCTCATTCCCAGGGGTTATTATCACCCATAAATTCCCTAATATTATAATAACCCTTTCTATACAAACTTAGTTTAATAAAAATTTTGAACTTTGAGCAGGTCATATTTTCGGTTAGATTTTGTTGTAAAAGCGTATACATTGCCCCAAGAATGAATTACTGACTCGGTGGAGTCGAGTAACTGGTACTACTAACTTGTGTCTGTTCCTAGTATTTACATTATGAATATCACTTATTTTTGTAAAACTACTTTTATTTTTGTGTTATACATTACGTACGATGCTATTGGTATAAACTACCTTCTGCATAGTTGATTCTTTTTCTAGAAAAAATGTAGCCTAAGTTATTCCTTATCGGTCCAGCTGTTTCGGAGATTAGCCGGAACAAACAGACAGACAGACAAAAATGTTAAATATTGTATTTTTGTTATAAGTATCGTATATACTTTCATATGCATTTAGTAAAATGCTGTAATTTTGACATTACAAACAGACACTTCAATTTTATTTATTTGTATAGATTAAAGTTCCGACTAAGAAATATCACATTCCTAAGTAACAACTAAAATGTCGTCTAAATAGTTACATTAAAAACCCTGAAATATAACCTATTTCGGTAGAAATAATGATTAAAATCGGTTCATAATTGTCGAAGATATCGCGTAACATATAAACCAATAAAAAGAAAAAATCAAAACATAATTTGTAACAGTCGAATTGAGAACCTCCCTCCCCTTTTTGAAGTCGGCTAATATGTGTTTTAGCACAACTATTCTAGCTGGTATTCTGACTAATAACTACTAGGACATGTGAAAGTATAAAACTTGTACGGAATGTCGAATTCGGAAAATTAGTTTTTTACTGGGAAGCAACGATGAATTTGTGATTTTGGAAAGAATGCTTTAGAATTCAAATTAACTTCATTTTTAAAAGCTCACACATGATCTGTCTCTCCATCCAAATTTGGATGTCTATAAGGCAAGAGTGAATACTGAATAGGGTTTTGTTAAGCTAAGTCAGTGCGCTTTGTCGTTTTCGGCTACGGCGTCACTTACCATCAGTTGTCGTCAAACATTATTTAATATTTATTCGATGATGCCAAAGCGAATTCTTCACCCAATCCATTCATTACCATCTACGAAAAGTCCATGTGCTGAACATCGACCTTCCCGAACGATTGCCTCATACGGGGGATAATTGCTAGTGTCCGTGCTCGAGTGGCGGAATGGCAACCGAAGACAACTTAGCATGCCCGTTTGCCCTCTCTTCTATGAAAAAAAAAGAAGAAATTGCCGCCCATCTCCTGTTTCCACTTTCAACACCCATAGGATTTAATAGTGGATTCCTATCTTACGCCGCGAAAACAAAGTCCAAGCAATTTCTTAGTTTTGATTAATTTTTTCACGAACATTTTATAATTACGAACATGTTTTTATAATGGCCATGAAGATCATGGCCATTGTGACCCCTTTCTAATGTTGACAATATAACTCGTTTTTCATTTTGGCTTAGGTATATTAGTGTTCAAACACAGAACCTGTAACCACAGAATAAATAATAGCTGTAATGTACTCGTGGTTGTCAGGTTTTCTTACTATTAGCTATTAGGCTTTGATTGTATACAAAGCTATTAGGCCACGGGGGCATCAGTTTTATTGTATATAGTTAAAACTATTGCATTGAAAGAAATTACAATTTTATTGTTAAATTTGTTGAACCACCTTAGTTTATTAAATATTTTAAGGTTGTTTTTGATTCAGTGTTAGGAAAGAAAAACATTGTTCAGATGACTATCATCTCCTGTAAATATATTTGGAGCGTGGCCGACTGTTTGACATTGGGCTCGCTGCTGGCAAAGGTTTGGCTGTTATGTAGCACAGATATACATATGTATGTGACTGAATATTTTACGACGCTTGCCATTGTTGATCTAAACATTATTATTGATATAAGAATGAACACGTGATAGTAACACAAAAAGGACCACATTCTCCCGAATACTAGCGTACAATAGCAGCATAATGCTGCTGTGTTTCGTATGGTGAGTGGTGACAACTGAAGACTTTCTTTACGGTTGACTCTTAGAATTAAGGAGTGACCACTTATCTGTATTTTGATTCGTAACTGAGGATAAATAGAGAGTAGGATAGTAGGATTTGTATGAATATTATATATTTTGGCGTGAACACGCTTCACGCAAAAACCCGTGAACCTGTGAATCGATTTGGATGGGACTTTCACTCGCAAATAGCTGATGTTATAAGGAGTAAGTTAGGCTACTTTTATTTTAGATTTCCGCACAAAAAAGTTCCACGCGGGCGAAGTTGCGGGGAACAGCTAGTATTTATATAAAACGGGGTAAGCGAGCATGGTGTCATTGTATTAAATAATAAAAATCAGTTAGGACTTTTCGAACACAGATTATTTGTATTTTAATAAAGGATTATTTCGCCACCTTCATCAGCCCATGAGAAATACGGATCTCTCTCCCGAGCTCTCCCGGGGAGAATCTGCTGTTGCATAGCAAAAGCAATCTTTTGTCGTCGTCGGTCGGCAAAACCAAATTTTTATGACTTTCCGATGCCGTATCGAAAAACCAAATTCATTGTTGATATATTGTAAGAACACGATTCAAAACAAAGGCTTAAAGGAGTTGACTACTGCTTTCCAGCAACCATTTTGTTCACTTATTGAAAGTTAATTAAATCCCCAAAAAAGTGTAGGCGGTAGACGTTCAGCACTAAAACAGATGAGTACGAAGGACGTCGAATGGATTCTAGATTTTTAATTGTTGAAACGAATTAGAATAGAATAGAATAGAATGATTTTTATTCAATATGGATTATTACATAATGCTTATTGAAAGTCATTATTTTATTTACCACTGGTTCGGAAAATACCTCTGTCCTGGGAAGAACCAGCAAGAAACCCAGCGGGACTTTTTTTTAAACATAATTTCACTTAACAAGAATTTTGTTTATACAATTTTAAAAAAATTTCATAGAAGAAGCATGGTGGCGATCACCTTATTCCCAGGGGTTATTTTCATTCATGTATTCCTTGATATTATAATAACCCTTTTTGTACAGTTTTTCTTTAATAAAACTTTTAAACTTGTTTATTGACAAACTTTGAACATGTTCTGGGATTTTGTTGTAAAAGCGTATACATTGCCCCATAAATAAATTACTACTTCTGTGGAGTATAGAAACTGGCATTACAAGCTTATGTTTGTTCCTAGTGTTTAAGGTATGAACATCCTTATTCTTATTAAAGCTATTTATGTTTTTATGTACATACATTACATTTTCATAAATATATTGCGATGCCAAAGTTAATATGTTTATTTCTTTAAAATTTTCTCTGAGGGACTCTTTACAATTTAGATTATAAATCGCCCGTACGGCTCTCTTTTGCAAAACAAATATAGCTTCAATATCAGTCGCATTACCCCATAGCAAAATTCCATAAGATATTACGCTATGAAAGTAACTAAAATACACTAACCTAGCTGTCTCAACATCTGTGAGACTTCTAATATTTCTTACAGCATATGCTGCAGAACTAAGTCTGCTTGCTAATTTAGATATATGGGGACCCCATTGAAGTTTCGCGTCAAAAATAGTGGTATCCACAAGACTCAACTCCTCCCCATTTAAGAGCACATTGGTTTTCGAATGTTTTACATTAGGTATTGTAAATTTAATACATTTTGTCTTATTGCCATTTAAGAGCAAATTCTTGGCGTTAAACCAATGTACTAGTTTCGATAGAGCATTATTTACATCGTCATATTTAATTGACTGCCGTTTCAGTTTGAAAATTAAAGAGGTATCATCAGCAAATAATACTATATCGTGAATGTCCCCTACAAGATAAGGTAAGTCATTAATATAGATTAAGAACAGGAATGGGCCAAGAATCGAGCCCTGAGGAACGCCCATTGATACTACCGATCCGGAGGAACATTTACCATTAATGACGACTTTTTGAGTTCTGTTACTTAAATATGAAGTAATAAGTCTAAGCGCCAAATTTTTTATACTGTAATGTTGTAGTTTCGTGATTAATATCTCATGATGAACACAATCGAAAGCCTTGGAAAGGTCACAGAAAATACCTAAGGTATCTTGTGAATTCTCCCAGGCATTAAAAATATATTTCATAAGCTCAACACCGGCGTCAGACGTCGAGCGACCCCTTGTAAAACCATTTTGATTATTATGAAGTAATTTATTTGTATTAAA